TTTCTTGCTCAGGAAAACAGAGTGGAGGCTGTGGGGATCGAACTGGGTACTTGCAAAGTTCTCAGAGCACAAGCACACTGCTCAAACCCACTAGGCCAACACCCACACTCCCCAAAAGTTCACAAAATTCACAAACACACACAATAAATGACAAAAAAACTAATCTGTTGGTAAGGTGGAAGACAATGCCTGGCCAAGAAGTGTCCCTTATTTTTTTTTTATGGAGTTGGCAACCGTAGCTCAACCCTAGACCAAAAAAAAGCCAGTACCGATACAAAAACAGCAGTAATATAAAGGTTTGACAATTACTAGGCTAGATTAGCCCCAGGCCAAGCAGAGCCAGTAGAAAATGGGGAGAGCAGAGTTATGTTTGAGGGAACTCAAGTTAGGTCCCCTACCTTGAAGGTGCCGTGTGTTGGAAGGGTTACTAATGTACAGGATGGAAGTTCAGAGCTTTCATTCCAGATCTGTATTCCTGTATTTGCAGTCCATGTCCCCAATCATGGCCTGGCCCACCAGGGCTGTTGAAAATAATGTGGAAAAGTAAATAGATTATAATTGGTATTTCACCTTATGCCATCATGGTTTCTAAAATAACATATGCATTACTGAATCAATTTATTTTCTGCAAAATTTTGCTGCTTAATTTATCCAGTTAATGTGTCTTAAACAAACAAACAAACAAACAAAAACAAAAAACAATAAGAAAATGAAAAAAGAGCAGCTATACTTTCAATATTGCCTCATTTAAGTCCTGAGTGGCTAAAATAAGCAAAGTCATTAACTTTCTGAATTGCAGTTAATTAAAGTGCACCTTTTCTCTCTTCCTCTCTGGTTCTTCAGTTTAACACTTTTTCAGGATCAGATGTGATTTTTCCTGTGTGATTTTTACTGTGCAGAAACATCTACTGTGTTATTCACTATACAGCAAACAGAAATATAAAACCTTCGTTTTAAAATTGCTCATTAAACCAACACCAACACCGCATCGGCGGTGCAGGAATATGGTACAAAACCAAAAACTTAACAATTCTTATTTTCTACCATGCTAAGGTCTTCACCATGCTGGTACTCATGGGAAATGAGCTCCTCTTTCAGGCAAAATTGGGAGCTAAAATCGACCAAAACCGACAGTTCTTAACAGCCATTGCTAGTTTTGCAGTTATTGGAGTAACTAAATCAAGCTTGAAAAAACAAAAAGCAAAAAAAACATTATGCTTTTTTATTAATGCTGCTTAAAGCCAATATTGTCAAACCTGGAGAAAGGGGTTTAAGTAACAGTCAGGGTCAGTCAGCAGCTAAAGCAGGCCTAGAAGCTGCCTTATTATCTCATGCTTTACTGGCCATCAGTACGTGTTACTACTTTGTCCTTAAGCATCATATTCTCACACTTTTCTCACCCTGTCATGCTCCTGTCCTGTACGTTCTCTCCACATTTGTTCTCACATGACCTACAAGCCTCTTTATCCCCTTCATCTTCTCTCACTTCCACTCGATTCCCAAGACCTGCTCACAGTTTTCCCTCCCTTCGTCTTTTCACTTGACTCTTTTCTTCTTTCCAGTCCCAGCATAGAACATCTTTATACAATTACATTCTATTAAGAGCGGATTAGATTTCACCTTCACACAGTCTGCCAAGGGACAGCAGAAAATAGGAAGGAAGACGGATGTTTAAACAGAATAGATAAAAGAAGTAGAGAATAAACATCAAAAAGCAAAGCTCTAAATCGAAGCAGAAGGCATTCAAACTGAGAAACAAGATATACTTTGTGATTTTGTTGCCTCCCAGACCATTGGAAACAGAGCAAATGTATCTGTTGTGCTTGTATCCAGTCACATATAACTGTTTGCAATAAAAAACAAATTAGCGGCTTAGTACATCTTATGAGCTAAACTTAAAAATAAACTAAAACAAAACGACTGTGTTGATAACAAGGCTTGCTGGATATGATGTAAACCATGTGTGACGCATCCAGAAACCTTAAATTCCGACTCCCCATTGTTAACTGAATTTAATCTCAAAGAAACAGCAGTCATAGTGTAAAAGGATCATAAGTGTGTCAATCACTGTACAATAAAATCATTGGACACATAATAACATCCTAACTGCTTTGTGTTTTTCTTTACCGTATTTTTACTTTTTTTTTTATTAACTTAATTTTAGTCCATTTTTCTTTTTCCTTCACATTCAGTTTACTTTGATTTAAGGACATTTTTGCTGTGTGAAATCTTATGAGGATTTCACACAGATTAAACTTTGCAAAGCTGTTGGAAAACCTTAATTTTTTTTTTTTTTTTTTTACCCATTTTGTTGCACTTTTGCGTCTGTATTTGGTATTAATCCAGTTTGGAATTAGCTTGTACTGCTTTATAAGTTATCTCTTAATTTTTCTGTCAAAGTGCTTCTTGTTCGATTTAGTTTGCATAAATTTGCCTTCGCTCTGTGATCCCTGAAAAGCCTGTATCATCACCACTCCGCCACCATGCCGTTAACCACTTTAATGGTTTTCTACTTGGGACAACTTTTACTCCTTGTAGAGTGATTAACTTCACAATTGCTGGAAAAAGCCTAAATGTTAGTCAGATAAATGGAATGAACAAATTGTTCTCTGAGGTCATTGAGGTATTGTTTTCCTTTAGATCTGTATAGTTCAGACCTACAAACTACATACTTACTGCCTCTATAGAGGTAAAATCAACTAATCATAAGCAGTACAAAGATTTTTACTTTACAAGGTTGTATACTTTTTCCAACCACCATTTATTCCCATTGCTGTAACCTATGGTTCTCTCATAGAAGACTTATAAACTCCAAAGGGCAGCTTTTGTCTTTTCTTGTTTGACGCCAAAGCAAAGGGAACAGATGGTCTAGGTGTGCCCAGAAAAGATCATTGAGATCTAGGAGTGGAGGGACTCCAGGCTTCATCCCCCTGTACACCTGTGGGTTAAGAAGGGTTAAATTTGTCCTACTGTGCTACTCTATGCAGGTATAAACCATGGATCACCCTTCCTGCAGTGCACAGTTGGGCTAAACTGCTACTGGCACAGTCTACAGTGGTGACAAACGAGGAAAATCATCTATTTAGGACCTAATCTGTTGTCTAAATGAATTTCTTTGATATATTTCACTGTTTAATTAGCTTCTATAGGCTGAAGCTTCTTAGATGAGCAGCCACCCTCTGTCTCTTGAGAAGGCTTTTACATACTTTTTGTGGAAGTATCAGCTGCCTCATTATCTACCACCTTGTTTAGCTTCAATATTTTATATCTGTGGCAAACTGTTATTATAGCAGTTTTCCTTGTTATTTAGACTATTTAGATTTTGTTTGTGTCCCCCAAATGTACGGTGAAAGTATAACTGCAATGCAACGTCTTGCATAAGCAGGTTAAATGCTACGCCCAACAGAAGCAGCTAACGTTCCATATTGCATTGTTTTATTGTATTGCTCTTGCTTTACTTTAATACTCAAGGCTAAATCGGATCCAAGCTTGACTACTAATAATAAGATCGGATTAGTTTGACTTTGTCAAATTTTCGTAGCTGCTGTCTGGAAGTTGGCAAAAAAAAAAAAAAGCTATAGATTTTCTGAGGTTCTAACAACAAATTGGTTTTTGATGGAACAGTCCATAAGGAAAGAATTTTATTTGATATATTTGGGCTATTATATTTATATATAAAGGAAATTTAAAGTCCACCCCAACCTATAGTTGAATAAAGGGAGGATTCGGATTTCCTGTAACATGGTGTATAGGATGTATTTGATCGTCATTCATTCAAATACTGAGGTGACTAATATGTTTTTAATTCAGCCTTACATAATAGATTTAACTAATCTGCTAACATATTGTGTCTCTTAAACCATGGAACTAAAAAAATCAACACTACATAAGTATCACTGAGCCCATTACTTTACAATTTGCCGAAAATCAAGATTGATATTTTTGTTTTTTTGATCAATATTACAAGTTGTTTTTAATTTCCTTTGCACTATCCACATCACATAATTTATACGTTTTTATTTTTTATTATTATTATTATTGGAGTGGAGCAGTGGGAAGCACTGCTGCCTTGCAGCAAGAAGGTTCCAGGTTTGATTCCTGGACTTGGTCTTTCTGCATTCAGTTTGCATGTTTAAACAGAACCCATGTGTTCTCACCAGGTACTCTGATTTTCTCCCACAGTCCAAAAACATTACTGTTAGATTAATTGGCTTCTCTAAACTCTCCTTAGGTGTGAGTGTGTACATGAATGGTTGTTTGTCTCTGTGTTGCCCTAAAAGGGCTTACTTTTACTCATTATACGCCTTCTTTCATTCTGTTTTGTTGTCCAACTTTCCAATAATTTGAAGTGGTTTTTCAAACTGGCCCTACATTTTAGATTTTTTTTTCAGGATATTTGCAGGTACTTCTGATTTAGATATTACTTCAATCTTCTTTGCTATCAAATTGTATTATTCAATACGGGTGAAAAGCAGAAAGTCAGTCCTATTTGTTGTTGCTATATCCTTTAATTCTTTCTTTATATCTGTGTTTAGTTGTTTGATATTGTGTAATGCTCAACAAGCCGAGCTGCTAACTTTCACACTCCAAGGCTCCTTGAATCAAGTCAAATTGTGTCTGTGATATGTAATTCCTGCATAAACAATATTTTTGTAAATATTTGTTTGAAATTGAGGGTTTTGGAGGGTTTTATTGTGCTGGCAGACAGCAGCTTTGTTCAGGGCAACAAACCAGGTGTCTTAAATATTTGTAACAGATGTGAAGACTCAGCAGCAGCACAGAAATCTGGAGGAACGTGTGTGTTTGTGCATGAATGTCCTCCCTTGTCTGTGTGGGCACATTCAAATGTGTTTGTACAGTAATATTCTTCTCTTCTTCCCTCGTTACGTAAGAGAGAAGAAGAAACGTGAACAATGTAAAAGCTAGAGCTCTTTTTTCTTTCACTTTATCAAACAGTTTATGTAAAGCACACACAAAACTCATTTTGGAAAGTCATTTAGGCGACTTCCATCACCCTTCCTGGGTTTTAACATTTCTCTGTCTTCCCTCCCACCTATTATTCTTACAGATGCCCCGGTGGCAGAGCTACATGACCTGTTCTGTAAGAAGCTGCAGCAGTGCTGCGTGCTGTTTGATTTCTTGGACTGTGTGGCCGACCTGAAAGGGAAGGAGATCAAACGTGCGGCGCTTAACGAGCTGGTGGAGAGCGTGGCTACTAGTAGAGGAGTCCTCATCGAACCTCTCTACCCAGAGGCCATAAAGATGGTAAGAAGGGAAGAAAGTAAAAAAGGTCAAACCCTGAATTATAGAATAGTGCAATCTTCTTTTGGATGAACTTGCGATTTTTGCTTTAATAAAATTTACCCTCTAATGCCTTCAAAAAATCAAAACTGTGTAATAGAGGAAATATATAGATTTAACATTTTAATTCGTAAAATTACAAGTGATGAGGAGACATTACTTGAATCAGGGGAGTCAGAGTCCAAAATACCGTAAGAGAATCAAATGCAGGAAAAATTAAGTCAGATTCATCCAGTTTCGTCCAGCTATTGAAGGTGAAAGTGCCTGAAGGGAAACTTGGAAATATTCATGCCCAGAAAGATTTGGGACCCCTACAGGGAGAATCCAAGCAAGGTGATCCTTCAAGGATGCCTAGTCTTGTCTCTCTAGTCCCACTCTATACTCAAAGCGGATGATAGAAGACAGTGTTCCTTGAATGACCCCTGAGGCAGAGCCCCAGCACCTAATACAGAAAGCTTGTTTCAGCCGATATTCCAGTATCTCTCCCTTTCTGAATGCTGTTAATATCAGGGACAGTCATGAATCTGTAAAAGACCCTTGGTTTTTCAGCACATTATTACAGGTGAATGTATCACAATTTAAAACTAGATGTTAACACTGGAGGTAAACGCATGCAAATGGTTTTTCTTACCATTTGATGTTAAATCAGACAAAACGTTAACTGTTTCAACTTATTAAAGTTTTTTTAGGTTTTCTGCAATAACTGAAGAGTTCATTGCTTTCTTTTAAGAAGTTTGCATACACCAACAATGCATTGAATTAATAAATAGTATATATATGAGTGAAGTTTGATTTGTTTAAGTCCTTGCCTAAATAAAAAAATTGAAAAAGCCCACATGACAATGTCATAGATTTGTAAGATTTAAATTAAATAATTATTTTAGATCATATATACATATAGTAAACAGAATTGGCCCTATCACTAATCCCTGTGGTACTCCGTAGGTAACCCTGAAGTTTGAGGATGATTTATCATTAACATAATTGAAACGGAAATTGTCAGACGAATGAAGGAATTTGCCCTTCAAATGAAGGATTGTCAGTTCAAACCCAACTGTAGCTTTACGTGTCATGTCCTTGCCAATTCACCTGCATAACCACCATTACTGATGGTGGTTAGAGGGACCAATGGCGCTGTGTACAGCAGCCTTGCCTCTGTCAGTACACCCCAAGGCAGCTGTGGCTATACTCTGGCTTGCCATCAACAGCGTGGGCATGAGTGGGTGAATGACTGAACACACATCTCCTGACTTAATAAAGGCTACATAGGTACAATCCATTTACCAATCAGGCTACCTACAGAACCTTCAAGCCATTCGAAAAGTTTATTATGATCAACTATATTAAATGCAGCACTAAGATTTAACACGAGAAGTACAGGTACAAGTCCATTATCCGAGGTCAAGAGAATATCATTAGTGGCTTTCACCAAAGCTGTTTCAGTGCTATGATAAGCTCTAAAACTTACTGGTCACACACTTGATTAGCAATTATTTTCTCAAAAATCTTAGATAAGAAACGAAGATTCAATATAGGTCTATAATTTATCAAGTCTGGATGCAGAAAAGGTTTAATAGGTTTGAATAGGTTTAGACTAACGATGTAATCACAACTACTCTAAAAGCCTTAGGTATGTATTTCTGTATTAGGGATAGATTAATCATTTCTAAAATGGAGATGAAAATCCAATGGAATACTTCCTTAAATAACTTTGTTGTAAATGGATCTAACGAAAAGTTGAAGGCTGAGATAAACATAAAAATTTTGCTAACTCTGAAAGCTCAAACAGATCAAAACAGTCCAAACAGAGTTGAGGTTCTATGGTTACATCAGATGCTGCCTCACCAAAGAAATTATGCTGTCAGGATTTGGTTGTGGTGTGAGGACCCAAATGCAGAGGCAGGGAGGCAGAGGTGAGTTTCTTGATGATATAATGAAGAGTGAACGAAAAAAACTGAGGCAGGAATGCAAAATCTGAAAATCAAAACATGAAAATAAAGTCAAAAGTCAAGCAAACCAGAAACCATCGGGGGAAAACTATCACAAGGAGGCAGACTCAGAGATACGGAGTTGAAGGAAGTTGACGAGGAACCAGCACTGAGGAACTGAATAGCGAGTGTATTTATGGGAGACTGAAACAAAGAGAGGACTAAAGAGCAGATTGGGAGCAGGTTTGAACAGAGCAGAACAGGAAAGGAGCTAGGGAAAAAGGAGAACACAAGAGGGCAGCAGAGGGCAACAAATAAAAACCTGAAAAATAACCAGAGAACACAACAAAATAAGAATTAAACCACTAAAACTAGAAAACATGGAGCAAAGTAAAACTGAAAACTCAAAAGAAGACATAACAGAACCAGAACTGTGACAGATGCAAAAGCACTTAAGCAGCTAAATCTGTAAGAATTTAGATTCAGGCCTACTGTAAAAGATAAATCACAAAACTTTTGGTTGGCTTAGAAGGAAATGATTACATTGAACTTAAAAGTAATTTGAGTCAAAATCAAACTTGAAAGATAAATTTGATTGCACAGCTGTTAGTTTAACAGACATTCTTAATTGACAAATGCCACCAGTCCTAAAACTCATTTATAGAGACCTAGGAATATATGGTCAAGCTGATCTGCAAATGGGTCAAAACTGGTCAGAGAATAAATTTAGAAAGACTCCCACACACTGATCTAACCTACATGGCAATAAAAAAAGGGGCATAAGGATGAACTGATAAGCGGAAGAAAGGAGAGGAGAGCAGAAGGTAGCAAAGAGGGAAGCAAAAGTCAGCACGTATAATGACAACAAGAGGGATGGAAGAAGAGATGAGGTGGAGCGTGCCGCAGAGTGTGGACAGCAGACATCCCACAGGAGCAAGAAAAGCCTGCAGCACATATATAGCTTATGGCATTCATTAGTTCTACCCAGAGTTGTGAAAATGGGGTGGAAGGAAAGAGGAATGATTCAATATGCAGCTGTCTGCTTAAAAAAAGCCTCAATAATAATAAAAAAGAGAAATAAAAAAAAAAAGCTAATTTGAACAAGTTACTAGGATGAGCAATAGCTTAGATTTGGTGCAGTGCAAAATAACACAGAGTAAGTTATATTGTCTGAACTAAAAACACTATTCTCATAACAGAACATATCCGTTTAGGTCATTTCTACATATTGTGCATTAACGAATAAAGCTTTAAAATTCAAGAATAGATAATATTATGATCTGAATTAAAAACAACAAACAGATTAAATGTCTCAGCTCCTGCAAGGGTTGAACATGATCTGATAGAATCGACAGTATATTATCTGATTCAGTAGTTTAACATCCAGAGGAAAAAAAATGCCATGAAGTAGAAATAATGTCACTTATTTTTAAACGATATTCAGATTTAAGCAGCACTTTAAGAAAAACAGAGAACGCGAGTCAGTGCAGAGGCATTCGCTGAATAAATGATGACTTAGTGAACAGTCGTTGCATGACTTATCAGTTGTTCTGGCTGATATCAGCATTAGAGATGACCAACACTACCGAGAGGAGCTTGGAAACTGAAAACAGCCCTAAAGATGTATTTTTATTCCTGCCTGCAATGCAACTGCTTCTTCCTCTTAAAGGCACGCATACACTCTACAATTTTTTTACCCTTTTCAGGCCAATTCCCCAGTTGTGTGAGAATTATTTCGATCGTTTTAGCCTCATCGTGCAGTAGTATACGGGGGTAAAGAGGGGCGATCAGCCTCGACCACCTCCCGATCAGAAATCATAAGGTTGGGAGAAAATTAAACATGTTTGAAATTCAGTCAGCCCTTGTGAGGTGTTCATGGGCAAATCCTGCTGTTGAAGCAGATCTACAAGCCGATTTAGCAGAATCTCACGCACAGCGTCTCCCGACCTTACGATTCCTGATCCGGAGGTGGTTGTGAGAGGCTGGTTGCCCCACGTTACCACCTGTATACTACACAACGCACACAATGAGACGGAAACTCGAAAAGGGCAAAAAATGGTACAAAGTATGCCCGCCTTTACAGAGCATGTGCACTGCTGCCCAATCGACCCATCTGTTTGATCAGACATACTATTTAAGGTTAAATGTGAAGCATCCTATTGTTTTATTGAATGATGGGGGAAATAAATGGCCTCCTGCAAATATCCAGGGAATTAATACCTTGATATGATTGAAATTGCCAATAAAAGAAAGTTAATGCTTAATAGTTAAACTATTGTAACTCAGTACACAAGTTTTCATTTTACAAAGCACATTTTTTACCATTATTTGAGTCATTTCTATGGATGGCCTATTTCTACTTTAACTTGAGTAAAAAGTTTTTAAGATAGTGCTACTCTTAGTTGAGCAAATATCATGGGTAATCTACCCATGATATTTGCCTTTTAATTACCGCCAGGTCGTTAAAAGGCAATTAAATATTTTAGTTAAAGAGATATCAATTGATACTAATAACATTATATAAACACATAAATAATACATAAAACTCCTAACGTTTTTTTAAGACTTGAATGCATTAAAGAACTGTTTATTGTTCTATATGGAGATTATTGGCTTGTTGAATATTTTCATTCCTTTTATTTTTTATTTCCATTTTTTCTTCTTGGCTGAACTGTGAAGCATCTGGATTTGTTTTGTAAATTTTTTCACTGTAGTACAGAAACAAAATTAACTTTATTCTTTGGACTCTTAGATCTCTTCCATTTTGCAGTTCTTCAAAATGAACGAATATTAAAAGGTCATTTGTACTTTGCCTTTGAATCTTCACCTGAACGTTGCTCAGTTTTATTGAAGTATATATCTTTAAAACAGTTTATATGAATTATTTGTCTTTTTTTAACCAGTTTATTAAAAATTTCTGCCTGGTGACAGCATCATAGAGTTAAACCTTTAATTTCAATCAAATTAATGCGTGTTCTATTCTATTCTATTCTATTCTATTCTATTCTATTCTATTCTATTCTATTCTGTCTTTTATGATTTAAAGTCCCCATCCAGGCTCGTCTGTTAGAAATGCAGCCTTTTTTGGAAAGCTAAACAACATTTAAGGCAAATTTTAATGGTGTTCGATATCATTAACATTCTAAAGTATATTTGTTGGAATAAGTTTACACAACATGGTGTATTCTGATAAAGACCAGATTAAATGTATGTGTCCTATCTTTAAATGAGTTTTTAATTTTCTCTGTTAGAATTTCTCTCAAATTTCTCAAAGAAGTTCCTTTCTCTCCTTAGCTGATATCTTCTTCCCTCTATTTTCCTTTTTTTCCCCAGATCTCCGTCAACATATTCCGCACCCTTCCTCCCAGTGAGAATCCAGAGTTTGACCCTGAGGAAGACGAGCCGACTCTTGAAGCTTCATGGCCACATCTGCAGGTATGACAACACCCGACAAAGCCAGAGCTGTACGGGACTTTATGTTTAGGATCAAGCTCATTAGATGAAGGAATGTCATTTACCTCAGTGGTCGAGGCAAAGTTTATTTGTAAATTACTTTGATTACTTTTATTTATTTCTGGTAAGTTTGAGATTACCCAGCCACAGTTTTGTGGCTGTGTTCAAAAGGCTATTTTCCAACTCTGAATCAATTCAAATGTTAGATCCTAAACATCCATTCATATGATCAAAGATTGGTTTAAAGAAATGTATTCTCCACTTTCCTTGCTGCCGCCATTCACTACTATTACTATGTTAGACTTAGACGAACTGTATTGTCCTTTTTTGTGCAGTGAATGTATACAAAATGAGATTTTGCTGCATACAGCTTTTAACAGTGTAATGATGTTGCAGTTGGAGTAGGATAAACATTACCAGTATATAGTGCAGCAGTCATCATAATGTAACAATATAGGAGAAAAAAAAGTGTTTTAAATAATGGTGCAAAAGGGCATTAGTATGAAAACGTTCAGTGCAATGCAAAAATAAATATGGTGCAAAATGCAGTAGACAATTGATGTGTCTCCTATTATAAAAGTTCAGCGCGTTGGTGGTGCAAAATAATGATGCAAATGTGATGCAGACACCAGTTAAGAGTTCAATAGTCTTATGGCAGCGGAGAAAAAGCTATTGCAGAACCTGCTGGTCCTGCATGGAATGCTGCAAAGCATTTTCCCAGAGGGCAGCTGGGGGAACAGTCTATGGTGGAGATACTCCGATGATGTTGATTTGTTTTTGAATGTTACTAGAATACTAATATCAGCGTGTTGAATGACAATACGATGTCATGTAATTTAGATGACAACTGAAAGAAAATAACCAGTTCTTGAAATTTGAATCAATAGCTTGTTTGAAATCTTTAGAAACAAAGGAGTTTTTTTTTGTTTTTTTTTTAAAGATTTTCCCAACAATAGTGTTTCATCGTCTATCAGCTTTTGTGAGGGGTCTGTAAAATGAGGAGCAAAACATTTTCAAGTGATTCTAAAGAGTGGACTTTTTATCAGAGTTGATTATGTCAAAGTAGTTCTCGGTTGCAAAAAAACGACTTAAAACTTTATGCCTCTTTCTCTCAGCTGGTGTATGAGTTCTTTCTGAGATTCCTGGAGAGTCCAGACTTCCAGCCATCCATGGCCAAACGCTACATCGACCAGAAATTTGTCCTGCAGGTAAAACTTGGAATCTTTTCATTGCCTTAAAAAACTGTTCTTTAAATGACGGCATTGTTGCTACCACACCACGCTTCACTGGCATTTTATTTCATCACATAAAGTCCAACTTTTTAATCACATAACTCCAGATCAGTTGATCCCAGAAATTGTCCCAAATGGTACGCAAAGCTTTTCCACTAGCAAACTTTACCATCTCCAGAATCATAATTGAGGATTATGCAAATCCTACTTTATGAACCCTTAATCTGTTGTAACATTAGAATTAAATGGTTATTTACAAAGAGATATATGATGTTAACATTTTTCCAGTTAGAGTAAGAAGTATAAAAACAAGGATGTGCGCTAGGACTCAAAAGCCCAACCCAATTGAACCCTATTTTAAATCTGTTAAATGTCTTCCTTAAGCACTAACCTGAATGGCAAACAGAGTTCTCCTCTGTGTAATTTAATCTTACTATGAATACAGCAATGGAAAGCATAGCAAGACATGACTGCACAGCTGAAGTCTGAGAGGTGGGTAGTAACTACTTACGTTGACTCAGTTACTTTTACTCAAGTAACTCTGAAAAAAAATTAGTAGTTTCACAGAATATTAATTTTACTTTAGTAAAAATATTATAAAGTTCACTAATCTTAGTTGAGTAAAATTTCTTGCTACTCCATCCATTGTGATTTCACTTAACCAAAACAAGCTTGTTTTAAACAAATATGCACCATTGAGAGGCGCACTGCCTTCTGTTTGGAACTCAAGGCTTATTGGTTAAATGCTGCCATGTCATTTGGAGGTCAAGTAATAAAACTGCAAACATTTTTATGTAATTTAACGTATTCTGTTACTGTAACACTTGATCGTCTAAGTTTAATAACTCAAAAAATATTAAATCAGTGGTTATGATCATGGTAGCAAGTAGATCAACTAATCAGTACTTCAGTAGCCTTTTTACCAAAAACCTTTTTAAACTCTTACCTGACTAATTTCTTTAAAGTCTACTTTTTACTTTTACCTGACTAAAACATGATAAAGGGATGCTACTTTTACTTAAGTACAATTTTCTGATCTGGAGGAGCTGCAGAGGTCCACAGGTAGCTCCAGGCCAAAATCAGGCAGCAGTTTGGCTGCATATAAGTTTCAATCAGCTATCGATTAACACACATAAAGAACTATTTACAATCTAGAAATTACATAATACAAAAAAAATTAAAAAAAAACCTGAATTATAATTTTTGTTTTACCATTTTTATAGCTTTCTCTGCATAGTCTGTCACCTATAATATAAATGAATTTGGTTTTTTATTAATTAATGTTCTGTAAATGCTTAAAAGTAGCCCTTTAAAACATCTTAAAGAATTATGAATTCTAATATTTTAAAACAACCTTATGTAATAACAGCTTTGCATTTTGGAGCTGAAATCTCTGTGTAATGAAAAACCAGTACATTGCTGAAGTGGCTCTACTGGAAAGCTGCTGGGAGTTTGGAGAACTATTGTGACTGCTTGAAGTGGTTGAGCTGCATATTTTCTGGCTGTAATTACATTACGTGTGTTTGCAGCTTCTGGAGCTGTTCGACAGCGAGGACCCTAGGGAGAGGGAGTACCTGAAGACGATCCTGCACCGTGTCTATGGAAAATTACTGGGCCTCCGAGCATATATCCGCAAACAGATCAACAACATCTTCCTCAGGTGAATCCTGCAAAAATAAAATTAAATATCACTGCATCCAATTCCATACATCAACTCTTATCAGAGAGAAGAACAGACTTACTGATCTCTATTAAGCTTTATTTAGGTTGAGTTTTAAGTTAAGAATAGTTTTTTTTATATATATAAAAACAAAGCATTTAATTATTGTTAGTCTTGTTGCATGAATCTCTTTCTAATTAAACGAACTTTCAGACATCATACGGTTCGCGCAAGCCTTGCTGCTAGGTTTAAGTGCAGCAGACTCAGTCCTGCATGCTGCTTCACTGGGTTTCGGCGTTGTGCTAGCCGGACACTGGGTTATTTGTTGTGCTGTCTGTAGCATATATGCTGCTATATCTGTCCCGTACTAAGAAGCAAGCACTAGCTTTAATAGATAGGAGAAGAACAGCAAGAAAGCAAATATTAAATAATTGTCAGCTACATGACTTAAAACACAACGGACACCTATTTGGCTGGAGATTTGTTTCCATGCCATGGCTTTTTTCAACTTGTATCAGGAGTTTGTGGGATTCAGACACATAAAACTAGCTTCTCCATTTTGCTGTCTGGTCTTCCATCCTGATGCAACGTTTCTATTGGCTACGCATCTGGGTGGTACATTGTAGGGAGCTTTCGCTTGTTCAACGCAGCTCTTTGGTGCCCTTGCACGGCCCATAGTGCTGAAAATTATGGGTTTTAGAGCACAACACTGCATGCGTTGCAACCCGTCTGAAAGACCCTTAATGCTTTTAAAATGTTTCCAGAAAGCTACTCTTGTTTATCTGCATCTTTTCCACGTGTTAACTGCAGGAAAAAAAAGCTGAGCTCTACTTTTAGTTTTGGTGCTTTCTTCACCTAAATACAATGTTTCTAAGAATAGAAAGGAAAGGATGTGATTGGTCCAAAACAGTCCAAACTGCTTAACAATCACCGTGTGAGACACATCCTTTTGTAAAAAAAAATCAACATCCTCTATCCTGAGAGTTAAATAATTTTGCCCAGACCCAAATCTCCTCAAGAGGTTTAACTATACATTTCTGACAGGTTCTGATCATGTAATGTTTAAATATTAAACTGTTAAAAAAATGTAAACTATGTTTTAAACTCATTTAGTAAGATAATCACTCTCATCTATTTAACAGTTTCCCTTTCTCTTCTGTTTAGGTTCATTTATGAAACTGAGCACTTCAACGGCGTGGCGGAGCTGTTGGAAATCCTCGGCAGGTTTGTGTTATCAAAAAGCCGCCCCCTTCACCCAGGCATGAAGCAGGAATTAGAAGCAGCATAAAGAAACATTTGCTTAAACAGGAACAGATCATCAATGTATGACTAGATGTTTGACTTGTTAAATAAAGCAGCTGTGATGCCGCCTGTAAAGAATAGATGTTGCAGCTTTAAAGAAGGCATGAAGGAGAGACATCCAGCACAGAATGTGAGTCATATAGTTGTATAATATCTAAAATGAGTCTCTGAGGAAATAATTTGAGCAAGACAGATATGAAGCCAAACTGATAAACAAGACGTGTTTCCTTAGATAAAGATGAGTATTAATAATAAGAAGAAAAAGAAGGAAGAGGCTGAGAAAATAATAGAATTAAGGTGTTGCTGATTACTTTTGCATATTTCTGCATATATAAAAAGAACATTGTTGGGTTTGAAATTTTTAAATTTATTAATGGCTCTACCTCTTTTTATAGAAAAAACACACTCTATTGTACATATTTGTAGAAACATGGTGATCAGGTAAATGGGTAGTTCAACATTTTTCTAATAACCAACTGTTGAAATATAAACAATACCATACTTATGTTAGGAAACATCAATTTACTACTACTTACTACTTAAAACAACATTGACTAAGAGATCCTGCCTTTAGATGCTAAATGGGATGTATGCTGCCTACAAACAAGGCTTCACAATACGTAAATCGATTATTATTACTTTTTTTTTTTATTTAGGGAACCATATCTGTTTTAGTGTTTTGTTTTGTTTTGTTTAATCTTTTCAAATGTAACCATTCTTTTAGCTAATGGTTCAATGATTAAAAAACAACCTTTAAATGGAATAGTGAGTTGTGAGGATTCAGAAGGTGATTGTAGATTGAAGGGAAGGAGCAAGATGAGGATGAGTCCAAGATGAAAGAGGAATGGTCGGAGAGGAGGATGAGCGAGCGAAGAGTGAGTCAGAGGTGGGGGAAGAAGAGCAGGGCCAGGGGAGAGAGAGGCTTGCATTCATGTTGTTGGTAACGGAGGTATTTATAGCTCCTCCCACACACAGACAGGGGGAGGAATTGACGGGTGAGAGAGGATGCAAAACAAAAAGTAAGAGAGAGGAAGAAGATAGACATTCAGAGAAAAAAACGATGCGAGGAAGGCAGAATTAACTTCAGACGGGAAGAAGGATGCAGCTCTCTACAAAACACACAAAGACGCCAGTTAGACATGAGATCTAACAGTCAGGTAGACAAACACATAAATCATCTTTACAAACAGAGAAATGCTCAGAGTCAGTCACACGTTCCAAGTCTGCTTCCCACTCTCCTCCTGTTCAGACTCTTAGAAACTATTATGCATTAACCTGGTCAGTTGGAACCCAATGCCTATAAATCCTCAGGAACTCTCAGGTTTGAATCATTAGAGAATTAGATGATGTTTTAGCAGTTATTACAGGGGTTAAAGTACCATCGTCACTGCTGAGAATTACACTGTTAATCCATTAATGATGCAACATCCTTTCAAAGCTAATGGATACTAAAAAAATGTTGCATCAAGGGATCATGGTTCATCCCCATAACTGAGGATTGTCACAAAAGCTGATTCAGATCACTTTCAGTTAATTTACCTGCAATCAGCCGACTAAAACTGCATAAAGGACAGAAAATGAAACATTCACAGACAGTTAGACACATAGTTTGAACCTAAGGATTGGATTGCTTCCTTTTTGAAGTAGAAATAAACAGTTAACATCATGTAGCTGTTAAAGGTCATTATTAATTCATTCATCCATTTTCCTTTTAACAGAGCAGGTTTGTCCCATTGAGATCACAGATCTCTTTTGGAAGCCCGACTACAAATAACACACAACAGAGGAGTAAAATACATTTGAAAAGAACATGGAAACCTTTGGATATTTCTGAACACAGATACTCTAGACTCAGATGTTTTCATTTAAGAGAAAAAGGTCAAAGTAAAGTCTCTTTGTTGCCTCAGATAATATAAAGTCAAAGGTTTTTAGATCCAGTGCAGTTCTTAATTTTAGAATCACTATTTTTTATACCCTGGGGACAACAGCAGCAATTTATTCTGTTGTTTAAAAGATAAAAGTTAAACATTATGTTTTACTGAGACTAGATTTTGATATAAAAACAATAATTAGCTTTTCATTTAAGTACAATTAAATTAATTAGATAAATTATTTCATATATTAAAGCTCAATGCGACTAAAATAACCCTGATATTTTCCATAGCCAAGCCAGAGTCTAGCTAAAAGTTAGGAGTCATAGCTTTGATCTCTTTAAACCAAGACTTGGGGCATAATCTTTTGAGGCTTGTGTGCCTTTAAACAGGTGCACACATTCTTATTTGAAGAAAGCAGATCTTTAAAGCATGTGCAAGTCAGCGGACAGCATATGCAAACCTGGTTTATCTCACATGCAGATCATATTCTAATGATCGAACTACAAATTCATGGGTGATGGATATGCAGGTGTAAACATTTACCACATAAAGCAAATTTCCTTATCAGAAACTCAACCTTAGCAGTAGTTTTTATAGATTTTTGGGTATTTCTAAAATTGAGGTGCAAACTGACACAGAAAACTGTCTGCGGTCATTGATTGCCACAAAGGAAGCATTGGAATGATGTCAAATGATGTAGCAAAAGTAGATGTAGACTTATAGACATTGGACTGTCTGAAATAACAAGTGGAATAATATCAATAAAGAAAAATTTCTATTCAGCGAGATGGCAGAAAATCTTCTTATAATTTAACCCACTAAAAACAAAAAGGACGAAACTTAAATATTTTGGCAAATAAAAAAAACAGAATTTTAATAAAACCTTCAAGAGACATGGTGAGTGCGCAAAAAGCACTGTTATGTTGTAGACATTTTGTACTTGTTTTAGCGCATGAACTCTTGGGGGGCAGGTCAGAACTGTTTGTTATGTTTTATTTTTCGTTTTTAATATATTTTTATATTTGTAGTGCTCTACGAATAATATTTAGAATTATAATTATAAAATTAAATACTTCCACTACATGGCTTAGAACCTCATCTTCCTTTTACGACTACTCACAAATTGCATGTTGAACACACAAACAGCTTATTTTAATGGCTGGAACCAAATCTGCTCCAAAAACAGATTTGCACAGCAATCTTTCAAGAACACCCGCAACATGACCGCTTATGCACATACTAGAAAAAAAAAAAAAACGCACATGACATTCAGTCCCCATTTTATTTTATTTTTGGAGACCAGGCCCTCTGTGTTCAGCATTGTTAAAATACCAGCTGAAAGGTGCTACGAGTTAATCAGCAACCAGAAGAAAACTATTAGTAAGAGTATAAATAGTTTTTTGCCATGCAGTTTTTTCGTTCTTTTTTTTTTTACTTGAAAAAGGCTGACACTCTTATTACACTCGTTACCTTTACAAGGATCCTTGTCTGATCTCCCCTTATCTGATTCCCGTTTTTTAACTGGATAAAAATCATTTCAACTCTAAATCATATCCTGCTTAAGAGACATAATTGAAATTGTAAATAAATCACAAAAAAAATCACTCAAACCTGCTCTACATTCCCAGAACCAGACTCAGGACAATGGGAGATAGAGCATTTTGTGCTGCTGCCCCATAGCTGTGGAATTCCCTCCCTGACACCTTGAGGGCACCTCAGTCCACTGAGTGTTTTAAAAAAGGCCTTAAAACATTTCTTTTTAGCTTTTGGTCCCCCTTAGATGTTTCTTTTTTCTCTTTTAAAACAGCTTTTATTATTTTATTTTATTTTATTTCTTTTATCTCTATGTATTTCTTTTTTAATGCTTTTTTAAATGCTTTTTTGTTGCACTTTGAGGCCTTTTTGGTGAAAAGTGCANCCTTGTCTGATCTCCCCTTATCTGATTCCCGTTTTTTAACTGGATAAAAATCATTTCAACTCTAAATCATATCCTGCTTAAGAGACATAATTGAACTTGTAAATAAAAAAGGTACTTATTTAAGTGTCTCAACTGTAATAGGCTGCCAATTTTTTTCCTTTTGTTGATATTCCTTTTCTCCGTGATCCTAAAAATACTTTACAAAACAGTGTTTTTACTGTGTGAATATCAGAAATTCAAATGCTTCTCTAATCAATGCTATTCAAATTCTCTCATTATCTATTTGATGTGTATGAAAGAAAGAAGAAGTAGTCAATTATGTCTTATTTTCCACCACAGCAGCAGCAAATATAGGAGAAAATCAGATCAAAGAGAAACTATAACTGTTTTCCTTTTTTTGTGTTTTTTTTTAGCATCATAAATGGCTTTGCTCTGCCCCTGAAAGCTGAACACAAGCAGTTCCTGGTGCGGGTCCTCATCCCGCTACATACAGCAAAGTCCCTCTCCATCTTCCATGCACAGGTCAGTGATTAACTTAAAAACAATGATGTGAATCTATTTTCTATACACTCTTGTCCTAGCATAATCATGGGGGGATAGGGGTGTGGTCGCCAGTCCATTTCAGTGCAATACAGAGACATACTGGACCAACAACTGTGCACACTCATACCTCAAAATGTGCACACTCAAAAATCTAGTGAGACTAAATAATTAACCTCAGTCACCAGGGAAGAATCCACACATGCCAACTTCATAGTGAAAAACCACTAACCGTGCAACCAAAACAAACAGCCCAAGCAAACCAGGATTTATGTCTTTTACTATTAAGTATTTTATTAGTTTTAAAATACCAATGAAGGTACCTCATATTTATTTTGGCATAATTTTTCTTCAAAATGTCAAAGTCAATTAAAATATCTGTGGACCGTATTACATCTAAAGAAAAAAACAAAAATAAAGAATCATTCTTAAATGTACTTGTTTCCATACTGTGTGTTTTGTCTGGTGTTTTGCATTTAAATTCATAACAGGCTAGAACAGAAGAGTTATTCAACGAGGCAATCAAGAGGTAATGGGAACAGATGCATTATATGTTGGCAGAAAAACTATTATGTTAACAGCTATGAGGGGGACACAGGTTCCATGTAACGCTCTATTCAGATGAGATGAAAATGAAGCTTTTTAGGCTTTAAAGATGGCAGACATCTTACACTGTATATCACTTTGAACATGCCATCTTCACTGTAAAATACTATGTTGGTGCCTTGGCACTGTGGGCATGACAGGAAAACTGATCAGTGTTAATGTAAGGATGGATGGAGATGAATACAGTGAAATACTGGAAGAGAACCCATTAGGCACCAGATCCAAATATCAGTTAATTCTCTAAATAAAGCCAATAAAAAGGAGAACTAAGAAATGAAGCTTTTATATTGACTGCTGCATAGAGAATACTGCAATGAGTCATGTCTGCCACTAGGTGGGGGAAGTGTGCCATAAATATACTGCAGTGATAAACTCACCTCAGTGCTGTGCTGTTATGTGTGTGCTTGGGCGTGTTTGTGTTTATGGAGTCATAATATTTGATAGCTCAGATGACAGGCTGCATGTTTGTGCTTTTTATTTGTGTTTCATTATTTGCTTATACAGAAGGTGCTTTTTGTTTTTCTTCTGCTTTGTTCTGTGTTTGTGTATTCTGGGTGCCCTACATTTCTCCCCTTTGCTCCTTTCCTGGTTCTCACACATACATTATTAACACAGCATTAATAAAAAACTCCCTTTGATGGGATCAGGGGGGAGACAGGAGCAGGACTGACCTACTTCTGGGTTAAAAATGTCAAACTACAGCATTCCTACCGATTCAATTTAAATGTGTGAAATATACCATGCTTTCACTTGTAATCAATTTCAGAACTATATTATCAAAACAACCCAAAATCAGGCAAATCAGTGAGACATTATGTGTGAAATACACAGCCAAAGTTTCAACAATTTTATTTGCTAATATAGAAAAAATAACTAAATTTAAAATATCTGCCGGACCCCAAATGAAATGCATATTTTAGAGTCATTTGGAATATTGTGCAGCAAAAATCTCGCCGTGCAGAATTTAGTGTATTTTAGCCTTTTTAGGCTGAGTGAAAACAAACTACGGCCCTTAAATTATGGCTTATTAAGGGAAAATAGCTAGTTGATAATGTTTTTTACATTGATTCCAAAAAGTGGTTCTTCTATCTTTGACAGCAGCGGCTGATATCAGGTGCTTACAATAACTGGAAAGGAGCCACTTTGGAAGGTTTTACAGCTTGCTTGAGGTCATGCTATAGTCAGACAAAACAAAAAAACAAAAAACATACAAATGGGTTTCTGATCAATGTTCCCACTGCATAACCCTAATGCATTAAATCCCTAAACGAACCGCACACCCTGTAATCTGCACGGACTACAAGCACACTGTCCTCGAATGTTGGGATTTCATAGTCGACTGCATTAAATACATTTTTGGGGAGAAATTCCAACATATTCCCTCTTCCATCGTATCATCTGATCAGTAGAGGAGGAAGAGCCAACTTTCAGTTTAGCCTTGGAACAAAATAAAAGGAATGACCAACAAAGAACCTTTCAGTGCAGGTAGTGAAAACTTCAATGATACTTTCTCTGCCAGCGGTTGCCTGGCCATATCAGTGTGTCACAAAAAATGCTCAGTGTCCCATATCAGTTTCATATATAGACTTTCTCATGCTGACAAGAATTTTATTGATGAGCAGTTTTTACACGGAGGTAAAAATTACTCTCTGCATGGATGTTTTTTAACCAGAGAAGTAAAGCAGAACTAAATATGTGGTCGCCACAAAGTGTTGGTTGGACATTTCATGTCCTGATCTAGCAAAAGAGGCCCAGACAATCACACTACCAAAATCTTTTCTTCTTTTTTGTTCAGTGGTGGTTCTTGCCTTGAAACTGCTATTTTTAGGAAAGACTGCTTTCAATTACAATTTGAAAACTAACCTTAACTGAGACTATTGAGAGCTTAGGGTTTTTAGATTATGTTCTGGGTCCTTTATAACCTCTACGATTATTTGCTGATGCTGCTCTTGGAGTAATTTTGGTAGTTTTGCAACTTCCCACACCCTGCCCTCTCCTGTGTAGGTTTACAACTGTTTTTTGTCTTATCCATTGATATATAGTGGTTTACATTATGATTTACTGCTGTCCCAATGCCTGAGAAATAGCTTTATAAACTTTTATATAATTGAGTGTATGTGTTGTTTGTATTCTTAAATATCTGTAGACCAGGGCATGGTACTTTATTTAGAGTCTTTTGGTCTACCTTGTGTTGTCAGATGGGTTTCTTTAAGCTGGTTTTGTGCGAATCACGTAGGCGTGACTGGTAAAGGAGAAGCAAAATAATTTGTATTTTATCCCTTGTTGGTCAGTTTAAACAGGGAGTGATTACTTTTTCACCTTGAGTTGAATAGTTTTGTTCCATTCCTAGATAAAACCTATAAATAAAACTCATTTTTAATTTAGTTTTGTCTGATATTTAAAATCTTTGATGGTCTAAATCAAAGGTCTTCAACAGGGGGTCCGCGACCCCTAGGGGGTCCATGGAGGTACTGCATGGGGGTCGCGAAAGGTTTGGTTGACTTAGACTTTTTAAAAAAAAAGATTTTAACCTGCCCCCTGCAATTTTTTCTACTAATTGAAATGTCTTTAAATACACATTAACATGAATTCAACACACTGTAGTAAACAGATAAATGGAGGCAGAAG